CCCTCCCCCAACCACCACCAACCAAAACCCAACTTTAATCTCCCCCCCCCCACCCACCCCCCACCCCCCCCCCCCCCCCCCCCGCCCCCCCCGCCCCCCCCCCCCCCCCCCCCCCCGCGACATTCCCGTTCCCGATCAAGTAGCAGGGATAGCTCTACGAGCGCTGGGGGCAGCGCCAGAGATCATGAGTTCGCTATCAACTTCTACACTGAGCAAAGAGGTCACTGGGCAACCTTTATGAGACAGCAGAATGCCGACACTGGCACAATCTATCATGTGCGGAGGAATCCAAGGGCAGACCCTGATCGATACTACTACGATGAAAGAGACCATAACGCAACGTCCCCAGCTCTCTACGGGAGGAGCGTCGTGGCGAGGCTCTCAGCGGGCGAAGCTAGAGGGTACCGGGAGTCTATCAGAGACTACGCCAGGGACGAAAACAACCTGCCCCGTCTTAGCCGCCGGGAGAACTGTCAGACCTTCGTCGGCGGAGCACTGGGGCATCTCAAGCGAGGAGGACTGTTGAGGCCGGGGCACAGCCAGTACTACTCTCAATTCTACGGCCAGCCAAGCCCAGAGATTGGGAGACGAATCCGAGAAGACGGGCGTCACTTCTGGCAAGCCCCGAGAGTGGGCCCCGCGGCTACCGTCGTGGCCGAGCACAGGGAGCCCAGAGGTCGAGGGGACCGGTCGGCTAGAGGAGGACTCCTTGCGGAGAGATATCGGAATCTGCGATGATACAGGACTCAAAGTCCGGAAGATGGCGCATCACACACATTATTTCCTTAGTTATTTGTTTCATTTCGTTTTGTCGTGGCCGAGAGCACGTTTTTTTTTTTTTTTTTTTTTTTCTCTCATTACACGCATGGAGCCCTAGGGGCTATGGCGTGGTACCTAAGCTAAAGCTACGTACGTAGGAATTCTTCTAATAATACATTTTCCCTTTCCGTATAATCTTCGTCTGGTTTTTGCTACATTTGTCTCATCTTTCTTGCTTTCATAGTTCTGAATTATAGGAAAGTGTCCATTCTCTTGTGCATACCTCGGTTGCTTGGAGGAAATCCAGGAGGGTTTCCTTTCCTAGAGTCGTACCGAAAAGCACCTGTAGAGAGAGCGGGCTGCACGTTTTTTTATTTCAAGGGATTAGTTGGAACGAGACGACGACAGCAGGACCACGTCTGAAAGCCTCAAAAAAAGATGAAAACACAATCTACTACCAAGAAAAACAGCTAGCAGTTAGGCATAGACATGGCAATTTTCTTCTTTTATCAAGACCAAGATAGACACACCCAGATTGATGATTAGTATAGAAATTCAAATGCCCTCCAATTGCAACAAATGCGCCAAACTATCCATCTATACCACTTGCTTAAAATTTGGTAACCTAGGCCAAGGGACAATGGCCTGCTCACAGTAGTACAACAGAGAGCAAGAAACAATTCAAACAAAAAAGCAAATAGAAGTACGCTTGAGATAGAAGAGCTAAAAAGAATGAAAATGAACAAGACAAAGACAAAAAGGAAATTTACTCCGGTACGGGGAATCGAACCCCGAGCCCCGCGGTTCTTCAGCTCCTTTTTTTCGAGGATGATGAAAACGCGATATGTTAGCCGTTACACTATACCGGATAAGTGTTTTTGAGATAAATGCTCGGCGCTTATATCGGGTTCTTGTTGCACTGGACTGCGCTAACCTCATCCTAACCTAGTGGAGTGGGATGTCAACTGTGTGCTTCTAGTCTAGTCTACAAGAGGGTCAAGAACGAAGAGCAGGGAGAAGTTGTGAATTTACATGAAATATGCATGCAAGCTGACAACTTGGAGAGATACGCAGTAGATACACAGTATTTCTATCATCGGGTCTAACCTTAGCTAGTTAGGCCTATGAGAAACTGGGTCCAAGCAGCAAGCAGCAGCAATGGTGAAAAGTCGGAGGTAGACAAGACCTTCCACCAAATCCAGAAAATACTTGTACATACGCAACACTATCTAACACACAAGGATGGGCAACTCATTCAATGGTTGGCTTCCCAATTCAAACCCTCATCTTAGAAATGAAAAATCTTTAAAAAAAAAAAAAAGTCAAGGGCAAGCTCAAAAAAGGTAAAAAGGAAAATGACCAAAAGAAAGCAGAAGAATCAAATTGCAATTACAAATAAGGTCTCCCCGAGAATCGAACTCGGATTAACGGAATCAAAATCCGCTGTGATAACCATTACACTAGGAAACCATGTTTTTGTCTTTTTCTCTTTTTGAGCGTTCCGGCGCCAAAATACAGCACAAGACCTTTTTGCTCAAATGTTGCATTCCAACTTCCAAGATACCAGTGCTGTACTTTGGTATTTCTCCGCATGACTTGTCGGGGGTTGGTTCTTAGGGATGGGGGATTTGGCTGTGGCTGAGACAAGTGTTCAAGTACATGTATGTATGTACCTGTAGATAGTACAGCTCGGAAACTTGAAATGGGCAGACAGGTTGTGAGGTAAGTACATACACCTGGAGAGGGTAGGAAAGGTTTGATTAAAAGTTGGAATTAATTATCACAGGAATAAAAAACCTAGGTTTTAGTAGAGATGGGATTCTCTATATTACTATTACAGCCCGAGTTGGTAAAGAACAGGTGGAAGCAGTATGCATATACCTGTTCGGTACATCTAAAACACAGCGCTTACTGCAAGTAGAAGTTACAACCTTTTAACCTAGGTAGCCTGCTTGTGTTTGTCTCAAGGCCACGGAGAACTGCATCCAGTCCCGGTTTCATGTTAACCTCCTGATGACGCCGAAGAAATCTCGGAGTTACCTTCCTATTTGTTTGTTCCGAAACATACTTACTTATCCAAGTCGGCGGATTGTTTTGAAGTACACACTAGTCTAATACACCGACATAAGTCTGATCTCATCAATCACTGAAACTCAATCCCGGCGGTCAATTTTGCTCTCTATCAAAGGGAGCAAGGAGTTTGGACAGCTAGGTTAGCAACCAAATCTCCCCCCAAAAATACACGTGAACGTATACAGATTCATTCTATGCAAAGCAAACGGGAGGCATGCTTGTTTGATTTTACTTTGATTTTTATTCTTTTCTGTTTGTGTTGGTTATGCTGAGTCTTTTGTCTCATATTGGGTAGGACAGGCAACACTCGAATTGTCGAATCAATCGGAAAGCAAGTGTGCAGGCGGTAGATTACAGCTCATCTGTGCTTAACACTTTCATGCCTTCAATACCTCAAGCCACATTTTCAAACCTCCCCCGCTCTCTCTCTTTTCCTATGCACGACCCGGTACCAATGAATGCTTTCAAATGCCATTCATCTGATGATCCCCTCCATTCCGACCCCTGGCCTCTCTTGTGATGTTGTGTTGGTTTATGCTGTGTCATGATATAAATTCATGACATATCATTCCATTATCCTATTTTTTTTCATGACTATAAACGCTCCTCGGAAAGTCTCAGACGAAAATGTCATCGAGACACCCACCGAACCTCTCCGGGAACCCGACCTGGGCATCAGTTACACACTGTCTCGGACCGCCATCGCCCGATCCCGGATGCGAGCTAAAGTACTCGAAGTAGAGCCTGAGGAGCGCATCATGCTGCTCCGTCCTCGGAGTCGAGTTTTCCGCTTTGACAATGTTCGTCCTCGTCGTCGTCGTCGTATCGGTACTTGAAGCGGCAGATGATGCCGTGCTACTGCCGAAGGAGGTCGCGAACCGGCTCTGATTCCGGAATTCCTTGAACCTCGTAGCGATGACCTCGTAGTCTCTTATATTCACCAGCCGCGGCGGCGGGGCGTCTGGCGCAGATGAGGACGACGACGACGACGTCGTCGGCGATGAGGATGAGTGTGGTGCCGATTTAGTTGTAGAAGTAGTCGGTGCTGTGGATGGCCGGAACGGTTCGTGATATATAGACATCTCTGCGTTTGCGTTTGCGTTTGCGTGACTCTGGCGGCGCCGGCTGTTGTTGTTGTTCTCGAGGAGGAGTTGTTGTAGTCCTCCGGGGCCGCATTGGTCCTGTGACAGGAGATACGGGTCGAGCTCGCGCAGTGTGGCCTCGTCCGAGTAGTGTATCGCCTGTTGGGGAGCTGTCTGGGCTCCCGTTCCGCCGTAGTACTGCGAAAGCCTCCACGAAGCCGTGCCTTCGCTGACAAAGGGCTCAGCGTCGTTGTATTTGGATTTCTTGTGTGGTCGTCGACTGCCGCCCCCGTGTTTCCCAGACGGGAGGACATCGCAATCGACCGAGGACAGAAAACTGACGTCTTCGTACTCAGGCGGGCAGTGGTACGAGTCCCAATTCGAGAATATGGCCGGCAAGAGGGAGCGGCGGTACAAGTCCGGCGTGTCCTCAGCTTCGTACCGGGGCGTCATGTATTCCTGCGAGGCCAGGTCTCTCCTGGCATGGAGCGGCTCCAGTGGCGTCTGCGTGTCTTCGACGACTGTCGTCGCATCGCATCCGTCGGAGCCGGGCGTGGCAGGCGTCCAGGTATCCGGCATCGATATCTTGAACCGCGACTCTTCAGGATACAGACAGCATAGGCCCTTCGTCTTGCACCGGCGGCATGGCTCCCCTCTGGAGCACCGCTCACGAACCTTGGCGCACTTGAAGCATGCTCTCTTCCGGTGCGGATGCTCGTTCCGCCCTTCGCGCGCCACATGGACGGCTTCGTGTCTGCCCAAGATATCACTTGCGGAAAATAGGGTTAGTTGACTGGTCAGAGATGAGAGAGGCGCTACACCCGCAAAGCTCACCTTCTGGAGAAGCTCTTGCCACACTTGGAACATATGAACTTCTTGTGCTCGTCGTGTCCGCGCTGATGCCTCTTCAGGTTCTCAGGTCTCTTGAAGCTCCTGGGGCACTGAGGACAGCTGTACATCTCCTGGGCCGAGGGCTTCTTGGCCGGGCTATCGGCCGTAGATTCTCTAGCCACCTCGGAACCGGGAGTCGACGCTGGCGTGCCACGGTCCGACATGGTCAACCGAAGAATGATCACAATTGGCCTAGGCCGCGGGCAGATTGCAACTAGAGAGAGACGTTTCACACGGATTCCACCGCTGTCGATTACTCGCTTGAGATAGCATGTCCCCTACAGTACGCGATGAGTGAATACCAATACCTATATAACTAGGAACTCGAACATTTTTGGTCATGGCCGCTACGCTAACGGCGATCTTGATGCATCGCCCCAAGCGCGTACGGTAGTACATACATGCTCTCATACTTACAGCTGTACTTACCCCTGAGGTCGATAACCTGCTGCGGCTCTCGCTCGCAGTGATGACCCCTTAGGCTTCTGGAGACTGGGAACGCCGGAGACGGTCATGCTGCCCGCTTCTGACTGGTGCGCTTGGTGGGCTCCTGGTGGGCGGTTGTACGGTTGGCTACATAGATCCATCGACCTACCAGAACGAACTCTCAATGGAAGCAACGGACTGGGCAATGGTTGCGAGGAAGAACTCCTTCGAACTTCATGATGTCTCTTTTGAGGCGAAAGTCGTGCCACTAAACTCCAAACCGACAGACCCGACCAATGCCAAGATGTCCAATTTAACCGGTTTAACCGGCTTAAGTAATGGGCATGCTTGTGAGCTTGTCGGTTTCGAGCTGAAGATACTGGGTTAGGTGCCTGACCTGTCACCTGAGCATCTGGACGGGCCGTCGATGCAGTCGGTGCAGTCACTTGCAGTGGCGTGGGGAGTCGTGGGCACCACGGCCGAGGCGTTGCCCTTATTATTATCCCTGACAACTCGAGGCAACCTTGTTCAAGTTGGGTCAGGCTTCCCCGCAAAAATGGCCGGAATTGTCAAAGCTTGGTATTGTAGTGAAAACATCGGCTGTGAGGTACGGGAGTTGTCTACCTATGCTCTCTGTGATTGGGCCTAGCCTCCCCCTGGCGTCTGTGTTTCGTCGGGCCAGAACTTCCAGTTCCAGGTTTTGCACGGGCCGACGCGGTGTCCCGCCGACTCATTTCGTCATTCATGGCAAGTTCGAGAATTAGCTGTAGGAGCGCCTAATGACGGTGAACGGTGAACCGTGATAGGGGGGTTTTCACCCCTTCATCAGCCCGACCCTCATGTGTCCTTCGCCTCCACGATTGGCGCGTAAGTAGTAAGGGATGAATACCAGCTCTCTTTCCTCTCTCGACACCTCTCCCTGGACACGAGAGCCAGGCTCCTGCCCCGGCTCTTTCAGGAGCCATTGGTCCATCTTTCGGACCCAGCCTTCGGCTCGAAGCCGGATATAGCGCTCGCCCATATTGTCTACCACGCTCTCTTCTTCGCTGACCGGACTCCCGGCAGAGAGCCCAACGTTGCGGAAATGATCCTCCTCCCAGGGGTTGTCGAAATCCTCTACGCAGTAGATCAGGGGGCCCCGCGCTAGTGTCAAAGTCTGCTGGTTGGTGTGGGGATGGGGTGAAATGTAACGCGGCTCGAATCCTTGAATCTGGATTTTGAACGCTTTGTTGTCCGATGTGTACGGTGGCGGGAGCACTAGGTAGCCTTTATGGATCATTGCCGCCTCCAGTGCCGGAAGTAGCTGCAAGGATAGTAAGTACCAAGGCGCCAGTAACAGCGCCACGATACATGAGTGGGTGGACGTACCGTGAATGTCTTTCTGCCCAGCCCGGAAT